TGGCAGCACGCCCTCCCAATCGCTTCTGCAGCTGCCCCCTGCCTTTCTCTCAGGGGAAGCACGAAAGCTGGGGCTGGGCCGGCAGCCAGGAACACCGTAACCCTCCGCGCCCTCGCCCTGCCCCGAGGCCCAGCCTCCCGGTCCCCTCTGACCCACACTGCAGCCTCTTTTGCCCCAGTTCCTGGCCCCTGGGGCGCGGAGCGGGGTACAGAAATGCTGGGGTGTGGGTGTGGGGTGCAGATGCTGAGCCACGCTGGGCAGCGGTGGGGGCCAGGTTCTGGAGGCCCCGCTGGAATTCGCCTCCCTCGGCTCCCCCTGCACAGCTGTTTATAAATTCCAGGCCAGGCCTTGGCCCCTGCCCAGATCCCCCCTCCCAGCCCCTTCTCAGCCTCATCTGTGGCCCAGACTCTGCCAGGAGCTTGCAGTGCCCAGGGCCTCCCTGCTAAGCTCTGCCTCTTCTCTGGGCCCCGAGTTTCTCTGTCTCTCTGTCTCTGACTTTGTGTATCTCTCTCTCTCTCTGTCTCTCTTGATCTCTCCTTCTCTGTCCTTAGGGATGCCTAGACATGCAGCTGCGGCCTGTTCACACGTGTTCACCCACCCACCTCCCCCACCAGCAACGTGCACCAACATGGGGGAATCACAGCCTTCCTTCCACTAGCTCCCTACGCTTCCCAGCCAGCTCAGGGCCAGCTGACACAGGGACAAGTTCTAGCAGAGACCTGGGGCCCTCCTCCCTCTGACCCAGGAGTCCAGGCACCCAGCAACCTCCTCTCTCAGGCCCAGGAGTCCAGGGCCCCAGCCCCTCCTCCCTCAGACCCTGGAGTCCAGTCTCACTTACCACGGCTCACTCTCTGTTTGGCACCTGACAGGATGCCCGGGGTGTCAATGATACTAATGCTCTCCAGGACTTGATTGGGGAGCTGGGCACACATGAACCTGGGGCAGAGGGAAGGGCAGGGGTCAATGAAGGGGGACGCAGGAGGAGACCACATAAGAAGGGAAGCCAGGACAGCACAGAGGGTGGATCAGGCACAGAGAATGGAAGACTTGAAAGAGAAAAGGCAGATCAGGACAGAGAATAACTATAAAAAAATCAGAGCTGGTGTTTACTGAGCACTTACATGTACTTGGTGCCAGGTACTGTTCTAAGCACTTTGTAGGTATTAATTCATTTAGTTCTCACAACAACCCTATGGAGTAGGGACTATGGTTATCCCCTTTTACCAGATGAGGATAAGAGAGACACAGAGAGGTTAAGTCATCTGCCCAAGACCACCCAGGAGACCGGAGTGGAACCCAGGCAGGTTGGCTCCACTGGCTCCACTGTTCCTCTAGAGAAGGCAGGGTAGCAGAGGCAGGAAGTGGGGAGGATCAGGCAGAGAGAAGGAAATTGGTGCTGGAAAGGAAAGAAACGCAGGTGGAGAAGGGACAGAAATGGGGGCCAGGGACAGAGAGATGCCTTCCTGGCTCCCAGCTACACACCTGTTGAGGAAGGTGTTTCCAAAGGGGTTGAGTTTTCGGAAGGGCTTGTCTGGGTCAACGACGAGGGCATTGCCTGGCACGGTGCCCTCGGTGTCACCGTGCATGACGGCCACAAAGCAGTCGGTAGTGGGCTCCGGCCCCACGCGGGAGCCTGGCACCTCCTGCTCCAGCAGGTACTGGATGAAGCTGGTCTTGCCCGTGCTGTACTGGCCTGCCACCAGCACCATGGGCTTGCCGTCGAAGTCAGCATCCTCCAGTGCCGGCGAGTGGAAGTCCCCAAAGCGGTAGTGCTCCTCCAGAGGCAGCAGCTTGGTGCGGTACAGCTCCTTGAGGGCAGAGGTCACGGTGCGGATGGCCTCGGGCTGCTGGTTCCGTGCCCCGCTTCGCTTCAGCCAGCTGAACATGGTGGCTGCACGTTACCCTTGCTGGGCTCGCCCAAGGAGATGTGCAGGGAGAGAGCTGCCTGCTGGAGAAGGAGAGGGTGTTGATGGGGGACTGCCTGGTGGAGGAGGAGGAGAAGGAAGGGAGCTCAACGCGGAATGGGAAGAGGAGGACAGTGGAATGGGTAGAGGAAGAGAAGCATAGAGCACTGATGATGGATGGCAGGAGGTGATGGCTAAAGTAGGAAGCAGGTGATTATTCCAGCTGAAGGAAGAGAGAGATTAATGGTGAAACGATTGAAGAAGAGAAGTTATGGTGGAAAACCATGGATGGACAAAGGGAAAAAATGCAGAGGCTGCCTGGAAGAAATGTATTCCTTCATTCCTTCATTCTCGTCTGCCTCCCTTCTCCCCTTCCATCATTTCATACGTTGTCACTAAAATCACACCATGTTATCAGGAGCTGTGGATCCAGCCTCCACCCACTCAGAGCCATAACAACGTTGTAAGGTAGGGCTATTATTATCCCTACTTTTCAGACCAGGAAATGGAGGCTCAGGGAGATAGCAATAGCTTGCCAAAAGCTCTAGAAAGTGCTCACACTGGGACTTCAGGTAACCTGAGTTCAGAGACTACGCTCCTATCATAGGTCTAAGGAGTTAGGGAGACTTTCTCTAACCCAGCAGCAACAAGCACCCCCAGCACCCAGAGTGTGTTCTCTATATTCCCTTACTAGCCTTTCATTCTCTGTAGGATCTGTAGTGATGTCCCCGCTTTCATTCCTGATATCAGTCATTTGTGTCTTTGTTTATTTTTCCTTGATCAGTCTAACTGGATGCTTATAATTTTACTGATCTTTTCACAGAACCAGCTTTTGGAGCCTCTAACTATTATTTTCCACTAAAAGATATCAGGGCTCCTTAAAGAAATGGCTGATTCTAGGGCTGCAGCAGAGAAAGAACAAGTGAGCCTGGATTAGACAGTGGGGAAGTACTCAAAGACGGATGGGGCAAATCACAGGGACACAGGACCCAGATTGATGGGACTTCCACTGGCCAAAGAGACAACAATTTGAGCATCAAAAATAACTGTAAATCAAATATGTTAAAAATCCATAAAACCATAATGATTCTTTAAAAAAAGAAAAGAAAAAGAAAATGGAGTTGGGGCAGGAGTGTGGGAGAGGTAGAAAAGAGGTGGGAGCTGGGACCTGGGATGTTGGCAAAGGAAGGGGGCTTCGGACAGTGTCCTGGGCAGGGAGAGGTCTGGGGGACATCACTGGAAGGACGTTTTGGGTGGCTGGACAGGCGATGGGGTTGATGAGGTAAGGGAGGAGCTCTTAGGTGGGAGGAGTATCAAGTAGGGCAGAGATAGAGGAGGGTGGTGTTGGGAGACGCCAAAGAAGAGTCTAACTGAGAGGGTGGGGAAGGGAGTTGAGAGCGACTAATGGAGACTGAGGAGACTGGGGGAGACTTGGCAAGACTGGGAGGGACGCGGAGAGTGGGGGACACTGTTACAGACTGGAAGGGGTTGGGGGGAGCCGGGGAGACAGGTTTCGGGAGGGACTGGGGGCACCTGGGAGACCGTTAGACACTGCGGGGAGAGAACTGAGGGTCTTGGAGAGCAGGGGACTAATTGGGAGCAAGGGCAGGCTCCGAGCTCCGCGGGCAGAGGTGGGGAGGCGACAGCTGCGGTCGGGGCCACTCACCGATGGGGCGTGCAGGCGGCTGGACAGGACGGGCGGGCTGGGCAGGGGTCCCGCGGGAATCCGAGGCGCCCGCGGAGCGGCCTGTGCTCGCGGTCCCGTCCGGAGCCGTCTGAGCCGGGTGGGGCCTGGAGCAGGGAGGAGGGAAGGGAGGGGCGGAGGGGGGGGCGGGACGAGGCGCCCCCCCCTCAACCGGGCACCCGGCCTCTGGCGCCCCCTGGTGGGAAGTGGGAGGGCGCCTTCGCGAGGTGGGTGAGAGGCGGGCTTTCATTCAGGGGTTCAAGTTCTACCTCCACCTGAGGCATTGGGCCGCTTCCTGATCTCTGCTTTCCTTCGTAATATGGGACTAGAACTAACAACAACAACAGCAGCAATAATCACAATAATTGTAAAACTTGAGTTCATGAAACTCCTCAGCTCACAAACCTCTCTAGCTCCTCTCTCACTCAAAGTAAAAGCCAAAACAGGTGGCCCACAAGGCCCTGCACGATCTCCCTGTTCCCTCTGCCCCCACCTCCTTTCCTCTCCCCCTGGTTCACTCCACTGCAGTCACTCTGGCCTCCTGGCTGTTCCACCAACACACCAACAACCTCCAACCTCAGGGCCTTTGTACTTGCTGTTCCCTCCACCTGAAAGAAATGGCTGGCTCCCACCTCTTCTTCAGGTCTCTGCTCAAATGCCACCTCCTCAGAGAAGCCCTCCCTGATATATCTGTTTGATGCAGCACCCGCCATCTAACCATATGGTTACTTTTTCTCCACAGTTCTTATCACTCTATCTATTCCACATTTTTCTGCTTAAGTGACTGTCTCCCTCACAACAGGAGTCCCACGAGGGCAAGGATTTCCAACTGGGTGGTTCCCTGCTGTGTCCCCAGCCTAGCACAGTGCCTGACACACTGAAGGGGCTCAGTACATATTTGTTGAATGAATCCCCAATATTTACTGAGGGCTTCCTATGTGCAAGAACCTCTCTAAACTCTTTGAATTCTCAAAATATCCTAGAGAAGTAGGTATTATTACCCCATTTTACAGGTGAGACAACTGAGTCTGGGAAAAGTGAATTCAGGAAACCCAGAGATGTTGTTCAGGGCTGAGTGTCACACCTGGCTCATAGCAGGCGCTTAAAAAAATTCAGCCCTAATAATCCAGGTCCAGAGCTGAGTTTTCCTCCCAGCATGGGACTCAGAGCATCCAAGGCCTGAGTCCAACCCCAGCCCTTGCATACTAGACAGCCACAGGAAAGTGACTTTGCCTCTCCAAGCCTCAGTGTCCCCACCTGTCTTACTTCGCAGGACCACTTTCCTCGGGTCTTTATACCTCCTCAGTGCGCCTTACACTGACACTTCCTCCTGTCCCCACCATTCCTCTCCCCAGTCCCTACTTTATTTTCCTTTTTAGCTCTTATCACCATCGGCCAGAATATATCTGTTACTTATTTTCCTGTTTTTTTTAAATTGATTTGTATTTATTTATTGTTGATGTTACTTATTTTTAATCTCCTCCCTGCAAGAATATCAGCTCCCTGAGGAATGGCACTTGGGTCTGTTGTATTTGCTATTGTCACCCCAGTGCCTAGAACAGTGCCTGGCATACAGCAGGCACTCAGTAAATGTTTAATTGGTTAAATGCAATCATGTACGTAATTGGGGTGATATATATGTAAATGAAAGGCCTGGAACTTAGTGATAACTAATGTTACTACTCATAGGACAGGCCCTAGTCTAGAAGCTTGACATGGACCATCTCCCTCCCGCCTAGGAGGTGAGGTCCTGTTATATTATTGTTGTTATTAATCCCATTTCTCAGATAGGGAAATTGAGGTACAAGGAAGCAGTCCCTCTGGCCCAAGGAGTGGAAGGACAGGAGTGCAACCAGGTTATCTGACAGCAGAGCCTTGTTTTCATATCTACACCCACTGGGGTTTCTCAGCCTGCTGAGACCTCAGATGAAATTCAGAAGGGTCCGCGAACTTGGACCAGGGGCGGGAGAAATGACTTCTGGACTTTACACTGAAATTCAGGGTTTCCTTCACCCATGAATGTGAGCCACAAAACACAATAGCATCAGCAGGACCTGTGTCACTGTCACTGAGAGGAATCGCCAATGTTTTCATCACATTTCGGTTGTTTCAAAGATTTCCAGTAACTGTTTACTCAGCTCCGATCAAACCCATCGTTAGCTCTTCCTAATTAGTGTGTAATTAATAGCAGCCCCTATTACCGTGTCACCAATTTGTGGGTTTTTAAATAAACGTATAACTGTATTTCAGTATAATTGGTTCCCTTGTATTCCTGTGGGTTTTATTTTATACATTTAAAGATATTCTAGGAAGCAGTCAGTGGAGTGAAATGCCTCTGAGAGTCGACACTACCCTGCCTCATTAAATATGCTTTGAGCCCTTAATAACTGAGGCTACTGTCTCACCTCGTTGTCTCCCTGCTCTCCAAGTCAGGGACTCTCTGAGATCTGTCCCCAGTGTCGTCCAGCTTCCCTGATGCCCTTGCAGCCTCTGAAGCCCCTCCTCAAGGCAGAAGCTCAGGTTTTTATCCTCCCCCTTCTTTTTTAAAGATTTTTTTAAATTGGGGAGTTGGGGAAGAGGAACAGCCAAGTTGTTGTCCTTCCGTCTTAGTTGTCGAGGGCGCAGCTAGCTCAGCTCCAAGTCCAGTCGCCATCGGGCTGCCTGTCAGTAGTTCGTGGCCACTCAACTCAAGGTGCTGTGTTCAATCTTAGTTGGGAGTGGGCGTAGCCCCCCATCCATGCGGGAGTTGAACCAGCAACCTTGTTGTTAGGAGCATGTACTCTCACCAGCTGAGCCATGCTGCCACCTGTTGGCAGCTCGGTGGCAGCTCAGCTCAGGCGCAGCTCAGTGGCCCATGTGTTAATCGAACCGGCAACCCTGCTTGCTCAGAGCTCGTGCTCTTAACCAACCTAACCACTCGGCCGGCCCTTTATCCACTTTTTTAAAAAGTTTTTTTAATTTTAATTTTTTCAATTACAGTTGTTGTTGTTGTTTTTCTATTGTAGCTCCCTCCTTCCCCATTTGTCAAAACTGGATGGAGACATTCTGGCACATTCTACAACACGGATGAACCTTGGAGACATTATGCCAAGTGCAATAAGCCCGGCCCATAACAAACACTATATGATTTCACTCATATAAGGTGTTTAGAGCATTCAGATCCATAGAGACAAAGGAAAACAGTGGTTGCCAGGGGCTGGTGGGAGGAGGGAGGGAAGGTATTTTTTAATGGGACAGAGTTTCAGTTTTGCAAGATGAAACAAGTTCTGAGGATGGATGGTGGTGATCGTTACACAGTGTGAATGTGCTTAATGCTACTGAGCTGTATACTTAAAAATGGCTAAAATGGTAAATTTTATGTTATGGATATTTTACCTTAACTGGGGGGGAAAAAAAAGATGGAGAAGGCCGCCAGCGAGCCTGGTAGTTACTTGATGAACTTGGGACTCTGTCAGTCCTGCTCTATGCCCAGGTGACTTGGGCCCTGAGGTAACCTTCTGAGCCTCTCTCTTTTCCCAGAGAGCTTGGCTGTGGAAAAGGAGACCCTACAGATGTCCACCGAGCTGCTTCCAGGACCTGGGAACAGTAGCTAAGAAGTTGGGTCTGCAAGGCTCATTCTGCAGGAGCTGAGATCAGTTTGGATCCCCTTTCCAGGGTCTGTGTAAGGAGGGCAGGTCTCTGGCTTCTGTGCAGCCCGCTTGCAAAGTCCTTGCTGTTGTCCCCGGGGCTCACAGGAAACTAGATGTGCAGAGGTGAAGATGGTGGGCTCACAGCTACACCACCCAGCTTGTAGCCCAGCCTGCCCCTTACTGCATTCCTCAGGGCCATGGCTCCCCCACCTGCAAGATGGGGCTATCCATTCCCACACGGGATGCTGGGAGGACCAAGCAAGACATACAGGTGAAGGGCTTGGAGTGACGCCGACGGTGAGTGCTCCCCAAACATTAGTTATCCTGTTCCTCTGCTGGGGCTGGTGCAGCCAGCCTTCCAGAACTGAGGCCTGGCCCGTGCAAATCACTGTCATTTTTTTTTTTTTTTGCGTGGCCACATGTAGAGCTAGGCAGGAGGGTGGTCCATCTTCAAGAGACCCCATGTGTCAGCTTCTCCACCACAAACACCCCCAGGGTCCTGCAGAGGAAAGGCCCATCGCTAGGGTCGGCCTGCCACCGCCCACCTGGGGTCTAGCGCTGTGCTCCGATTCCGCCCTCCGTGTTCCCCACGCGGCCACCAGAGGGCGCCTGGGAAACCTGTCAGTTCACAGCCCTCTCTGCTCAGAGCCTTCCAGGGGCTCCCTTCTCACAGTAACAGCAAAGTCATCACCGTGGAGCACAAGGTCCTACTCGATAGGCCCTTGTTCCCTCTGACCTTGCCTGTCACCCCCTTCCCCTGGTCTCCAGTCGCGGTGCTCAATGCTGTTTAGTGTTCCTAAGCACAAAAAGGCTGTGACGTGCCTCATGGAAGAATAGTGGGTTGGATGAGCTTCCTTTAGGTGTGAATTATAAATGCTGTTGGCAGTGAGCTCAATGTGAATGAATCAACAATAAGGTGTCTTTAAACAGAAACACACATAAAACAAGGTGATATACTCATCAGGAAGCTAACCCTGTAACTCGCCTCTCCCCGCTTCACTATTGGCAATAGCAAAAATAAGAATCTCGGGGAAAACAAAGACACAAACAAAACAGAAACAGAACCATATAGAGAACAAGCTGATGACTGCCAAAGGGGAGGGGGTGGGGAGATGGAAGTTAAAAAAAATCGCCTCTTTGGTTGAGTTGTTCACTGTCTGCCTCCTCCACTGATAAGTCCGCCCCACCCCCAAGGGCAGGGACTCCTGTCTGCCTGTGCCTGGAACAGGGCCTGGCACCAAGCAGATGCTCCGCAAATATATGTGGAAAAAGCCCTCCCCACCTCTCTCCACCCAGGTCTCACCCCAACCTCGCACTCCAAACTCCCAAAAGACCCAAAAGCAATGGTGCTGGAGGGGGCATCAATAGTTTTAAAAAAAGGATCGGTTTTTAATTTACAAGAGTTCTAAATGTACAGAATTCTTTAAAAAAATCGTTATACACAATAAATACAGTACAAAAAAATTTATCTTACAGTACGTTTTGTCTCCAAGATTTCAAAATCTGGCGCGGGTGGCTGGAGGCAGTAAGAACAGAGGGGAAGACTGGTTGGGGAAGGGGCGGAAGACCCCGGATTCCTGTTTTGGAGGTGCTCGGATTTCAGTCGAAGGATGGGAGGGGTCTAAATCTCTCTTACTCGAGCACACACACAAGGACACAGGACACAGAGCTGGACGCACACACAAGGATGTGCCTGATGCCTGTAGGCACGCCCCCAGATGGGGCTCTAAGTTGCTGGCTCAAGCACCTCTTCCCTGCGTTTCCTTTTATGGCCTGTGGGGAAAGGCTGAGTGAGGCCTCCAAGGACCCTCACAGCTCTGAGCGCCCTCCAGGCATGGATCCGTGAAACCACACCAATGAGAGGTACCCGGACACGCGTGAGCAGTGGGAATAACCAGGGTGCCCCATCCCTGGAAAACACACGCATGTCCCCAGGATGGAGGGAGTGGAGTGTGGCAGGAAGTGGGAAGAAATGGGAAATGACACACCAGGATTACCCCCTCCTTTGGCAGGGGGACATTTTACGTTACAACCCCCTCCCCTAAATCCACGACCCCCCCCCCCCAACAACCCAGCTGAAGCAGGAGGTGGGGGAGGAGGCCTTTGTGACTCAAATAACTTAGGCAAGAAAAACTCAGGGGAATCCCCGGCTCATGTCCCCCAGGAGGCTGAGGTCAGATGCCCAGCTGCCCCTGGCGTCGACACTGAGCGAGGGGACAGGGAAGGGAAGTCCAGCCCGGTGTTATCTGTTCAACGTCCTGGCACCAAGGCCGCCATTGTGACTGGAGGGCGGGTAGGCTTCTGGCCTGTGCAGGGGTGAGGGGGAGGCGGGTGTGACAGCCGCCTGGGGGGCGTGGGGGTATGAGGGTGCGGATGTCCGGCCAGGGGCCTGCTGGAGGTTGAGGATGCTGTCGATGGCGCTCTGCAGGTGCTCTGTGAGGGTGTCATCCTGCGGGCTGTCGCTGGAGAAGCTAGCCTGGTCCACGTCAGGTGACTCGGACTTGCGCCTTTTGGCGGGGGGCATCGAGGGTGCCTCCCAGCCAGGGTCCCTGCTGCCACTGCCTTGCCCGGCACTGGCAGTGGCCTCTGGAGGGGCTCCCTTTAGCATGCGCTGGTATAATTCATCCTCCACGGCAGCCAGCTCCCGGATCAACCCGCTGGTGGCTTCGTCCACTTTGGTGGGCAGTGGCGCTGGACTGGTGCCCCGGGCCCTGCCCGTCACGGCCCCCTCAGCTGCCCCACTGCCCAGGGCCTCCACGTTCTCCCGGTATGTCTTCCGTAGGGGCAGGCGGGGGCAGTGTGGGGCTGGGGCCGAAGGTTTGCGGTCCGTGGTGGCCGGGGGTGGGTGGTCCACGGTGCCGTTCATCTGGCTGGTGGTCTGCGGGGGTGGCGGAGGCCGGGGTGGGGGCTCGGCAG